GTTTTGTATTAAAGATATATGTTTACTTGCTTTATAATAAGAAAGATATGATAAATAATCAAAAAATAAATTTATTGTTAAAAGAATATTTATTATTGTGAAGAAATTGTATGAAGCAAATTACATTTTATTAATATTGTATATTGGCTAGACATCATAATTAGGCAATTAATTTTGCAAAATTAATAGAGAAAATGATGAAAAGGCAAAAAGAATAAATACTTCAAAGCATGGAAGTTAACTATAAAACTCAATAAAAAAAATTTTAACGTGTTTTCGTGTTTGCTACAATTTATACAAATGATATAGACATACATACATATAAAAGTATTTATTCCTGAAAATATAATAAATATAAAACACGACCTTGGCCTCTTGTGCAACAAATTTTACACAAATGTTGCATCCATCAAAGCATCACAGAACGCCCAAAACATCAATTAAAATACAAAAGCGTGACGAACCTGAGAAAAATTTAGCCCTTAGCCCTTAGCAATTTAATATGCAATTTTTCATTTTTATTTCACTTTTATTATATATCTACATATTGAAATATATATATATATATATATATATATATACGTATACAACAACATATATACACACATTTGCATATATTTTGCTTATTTATTCATTTTTTATTTTGGAATGATAAAATGTATTTTGACAACATATTTCACTTGTTTGTATTTTGCTGGCATAAAACGAAGTAGATTTATTTATTTACATACCCGTACAAAGAAAAATTCATTCAAATACTTATTTATATGAAAGTAGGCAATATTTATGGCAGATGAAGGCATTTTCTTTATGTTATACACAGCATACTTACACTTCCATATACATATATTTGTATCTGTAGCTCTGAATACTTTTAGTTGCTTAACACAGAAAGGACAACGTATTAATATGCTCGCATATATGGAAGTAAGGGTATATATGGGGACGTGCCCCCACACTCAAACCGCGCACGCATCACTCGCATCGGTAGCAGGTGGCGGTAATAGCTGAGGTGGTTCCAAATGGGCGGTTAGGTTAATAAGGTTAAAATATTTGTCAGAGTTTCATTTGATGAAATGAAATATTCTTCAAGTTTTATCCTGTCTGCGTTGTCAAAAGGTAGATTGGCTTTTATTAAGCATATAATCAAAATTCACATCAAAGAAACGCAAGTAATTTGTATTTCTTTTTTTTTTGGAACTGAGAAAAAATTATATGGATTTCAACTTTACTGATACCAATGCGCAGAGTTTAATATATAATATTAATATGAGTTTGAAAAGTCAAACATTTTACCAATAAAACACTTTTTCCATTTTTATTAATACAATTTTCTTTTTCAAAGAAAACTCATTAAATAAATTTGGCAGATTTGCTAAAACATTTTTCTTTTTAAATTATAGAGACTTACTAGCAGGTACACATGTCACTCAAAATTTTACTTTAAAATATCAAAATATTACTCAGCTAAATTTTTGGACACATATTTAATTCACTTTATAAAATTCCACACTTATTAAATTTATTTTTTCAATATAAGATTAAATTATATGCCTTTAAAGATTTAATAAACATCTGACTGTAGAAAAAAAATATTTATATCTAACTAGAAATAGAAGTAGATGAAACTAAGAGAACAGTTCAGAAATTAGCTTAACGTTGTTCTGCAGATAAAAGTCAAATCATTTGTTTATTATTTAAACGGTATTATATTTCAAAAAGTAATAGATTTTATTATAATAAAATGTAATGTCTAAAGTACATTATTTGAGTAAATTACATTATAAAAATTATAAGGTCTTTATGACTTATGACAGATAAAATTCGGTTAGTCCCAAACAATGTGTTCAAAGGCCTTACATACTTCTAAGCAGAGCCACTATTCGATCTTTTTAGATAAACCCAACGTAGACCATGGTAATCCATCAAATTGCTTACCAACAACCTTATCACTGATCTACTCAATAGGAATATCTTTCCGGATTTGTGAAGCTTGAACTGGGTTTTCAGTTGAAAGTTGCCTTAATCCATGAGATAACCTACCAACATACTTATCACTAATCTACTGATTAGAAACGCCTTTCCGGATTTGTAAGGGTTGAGCTGATTTTTAAGTTGACAGTTGTCTTAACCGATGAGGTAACATAACCTACCAACCGTATCACTGATCTACTAAGTAGGAACATCTTTCCATATTTGTAAGGCTTGAACTGATTTTTAAGCTGAAAGTTGCCTTAATTCATGAGATAACCTACCAACAATCTTATCACTGATCTACTTAGTAGAAATGCCTTTCCGGATTTGTAAGAGGTTTTCAGGCTGAAATTTATCTTATCTTTATCGTGCTATCTTTCTATCTTGATGTTGAGAACATAGTTATACAACAAAAACAATGGCAAAGGTAAATACACAATATAAAGCATAATTTGAACTAGGAATCAATAAAAATTCTAAAATATAATATTGTAAATAAAGACATTAGATCAGCAAAAATTGTCATCGCCCCAATATATATATATACTGCATTCTGATTCATTATTTTCAAAATCTTAAGCATTTGTAAGGATAATTTCAATCCGAGTTACTAAAATGTGAAGTTTTAGAAGATTGAAATTTATTTAAAAAGAATTTAATTACGCACTAAGAATCATTAGTATATACCATAAGTGGTTTCCGTTTTTACATATAACAATTTTTATTCACAATATTAGTTTGTTTCAATATAAAAATTATTAAATTTCTTCATTATTATTAAAAATTATGATAACTTTATTTCCAAATTATAAATAGAAATTAGATACATGGTACATGCGCCATAATTAATTAATTTTGTAATTCAAGAATTATCATAATATATGTATCATAGATTGTAATTATGATTTTTTAGTTGCCAAAACATAACAGGTGCAAAATCGTTCACTTTTCATAAATAATTCATTACATACCTAACGAAGTTAATTAAGAAATGCAAATTGAACCCAGCAGTCGTCTAATTCATGCAATTAATAGGAATTCATTTAATTGGGAAAATACTAATAGTAGAATAACTGCTCATATAACAAATGATAGAAATAAGTTTAATATTTATGTACACGTATGGAAAAATGAGATTTACACATAGCACACATGGAATGGAAATGGAAAATGAAATACGTTTTGTAATTAGAGATTATGACTTACATAAATGTGCTGTGTGCTATAGTTGCAATAATTAATCTTGGATTTTTGTGTATGGAAAAACTTTATTACTTTCACATATAATATTTAATATTGTTGCAAGGTTTGAAGTACTTCAAAGTCATCAGTACTCTCGTTGGGTATTATATAAATTCATTTTAAAGCAAGAAGGACCCTTCAAAAATAGTAGTAGCGAGGCCATCTACCGTATATACTTGATATGTTACCGTGTAGCTTTCACTTTTTTTGGAAAAATGCAATTGTCGATGCAACAAAATCGTTTTATTAACATAGAAACCATCCAAGTGGCTGTCATCCAAGTGGCTCCTATCCGTGGAGCTATAACACTTATTCACTATGTATTTTAGATAAAATCGATTTCACTAAAATAAAGCCATTATTTATAAATCGTCCTGCTTTCCTTGGAATAAACCCTAAATATTGTATATTATACAATAATTAGATTTATTAGTAAAACCTAGGTTAAATATCTTACTGCTATCACATTTTCTAGCCTCTTATTGGATTTCAAGCAATTTTACAAAACTAATTTTTTTTGTATTTATATATGCATATATATATACTTGGTTGCTAGTGGGCTACCCAACGGAATTTCTTAATCTATTTTTTTAATGCCATTAGTTTTGTCTATCTGAGGTTGCAAAATGACACCTGTGTTTTTAAGACCACAAGATTATCATGTTGATAGAAGACTACTAATCTAAGTGAAGGGTTTTAGTCTAAGAGAATGTTTTAACATAAAAGAAGACTTCTAAAAGAACTTTTTATAGATATTCTTTATAATTACTCGTCGAAGTTGTTCCGAATTAGATAGAAAGTCTTAGGCAGAGAGTCCTAATCTCTGTCTGTCATAAGGAAATTCTCAAACAGAAGTATTCTAACCTTCATTCAAAAGACTATATGTTTTCTACTCAGTTAAGGTCAGTTATAATCACAAAGGATCAACTATGGCGACAAATACTGTTTCACTGGTAGGGAAAACCATACTATATTTTGTTATAAAATATTATTTGCTTGATTAAAATTTTTTAAATAAGTTGCTATTTTTAGATTGAGCCTTTTCCGAGTTAGTGCATCTGAGCACATCTACTCTTTGATACCTCATGTATTCCTCATAGGCTTCGTGCGGTTAGCGATTACGCTGAGATTAGATAGTACTAAGTAGGGCAGCCTGTCGGTTTTCGCATATAGCTTCAGGGCTTTGTACCTTATGTATTTTTTGACCGAATCTATTCTAAGGTCTCTTAGCTTAAAAGCATATATTTATTGTAACAATTAAAAAATAATAATTTCTTTATATTTTGATGCGAGTATTAATAATAAAAACAAAATTAACTTTCTCAGCTACAAAGGTAAAAAGGTAAAAAGATAATTTTTGTGCAAACATATGA